AAACAAAAACAAGGACAATAAATATCTATTCAATATTAGAATATGAAGTGGACAATTAAAAAAATCTATTACTTCAAAATAAAGAAAGAAATTAGCTAACCATATATACATATTGAAAAAAAGCTTCATAATGACAATATCCTGGTATCTAAAATGGCAACCTTGTTAATGGTAAAATTAGCAATATAACACCAGAATAATGACTTGAATAACAACAACACCAGTAACTATAATTCTAGTAATTATAACTCCAGTAACAACAATGATGAAATCCTTTATAAATTAATTAAAAAAAAACCGATAATCATTATCAATGATCATCCTCATAATTAGAGGTGCACTGTGGTGCATGATGCACCAAATTAAAATTCTTTTATTTTAATATGAAATTTTCAAAAAATCTTGGGACTTATTGTTAGGGGTCTTTTAGGTTAGATTAGGGTTTAGAGGTAGGTTTAATAATAAAAAAGTATAAGCGATTTTTGTAGAGTTTATATTTTTAAATCAAGGTCCCTAATTTCCAGCTTCAGCTATTTCCAGCATCAGCCACGACAATAATTAAAAAAACAAATATACGATTAAAAAAAAACCAATTTAAAAATATATATAACTTATAAAAATAAAAAAAAAAACATTTAATAAAATAAAAAATAAAATTTAATTTATAAAAATAAAAAATTAATTCTAATAAAAAAAAAAAATTAAACTAAAAAAAAAGAGAATAAAAATAAAATTAATTAAAAATATATAAAAAATTAAAAAATTAATACTAAAAAAAAATTAATTAATTAAAAACATATAAAAAAATATTTAAAAAAAAATTTAATTAAAAAAAACTTATAATACCTAGAAACCTAAGACAAAGAAAAAATTAGAAACTTGAACCTGGGCAATGCCCGGGTCTTAAGAGATAGATAGCTCTTGATATTCCATGACATTTAAGAAATAAAGAATTTTTAAGGCCAATATCACAATAACTTTTAGCTATAAAACATAGTATTAAAATATTTAGCAATTAACTGTAATTATCCAATACATTGAAGCAATTTAACTCTTAAGTAAATCTTCATTGTACCCCATGATTTATTAAATAATTTAAGCGAAACCTCCTCTAGGGTGGTTCGATTTTGATCTATCCATGTTGCACGAAATACTGTTGCAAATTTACCTTGTCCAATCTCTTGAATATCTTTAAGTTAATCATAATCGATCCATGATAATGGACACTTATTTTCAATCAATAATTTTTTTAAATTATCACTTATATCCGATTTCTCGCATACTCATTTAAAAACTTTTATTAGATTTTAAACTTCTAGGCTAGATTTAAATTTCATATATACAAATTCCAATTTAGAATATCCTACTAGCAATAATATTAATTAAATAAATAAATTATTTACATCCGATGTCAATATTATGCCATTTCTAGTTTTCTTGTTACTCCGATTCCATTTCGACAACAATAGCTTACTTCATACATGGCACCAGAATTTCCCATTCCAGCAGACTTTTGATATTATATGAATGCCTTATATTCATCCTTTTCGGCACCATATCCATTTCGATAACAGTATCCAAGATATATGTTCCATTGGAATGCCTCATTTCAGAAGATTTTTTGAAAATAAATAAATGCCTTATGTCTATCTATTTCAGCTTCAGTCCCATCTCGGTAAAAGGACCAAGACTAAACGTTTCCCAATCATTACCCATATCTGCAGATTTTTGATAATAAATAAAGGCTTTCTGCTCATTCTTTTCAACCCCAATTCCATTTTGATAACAGAATCCAAGGTTGCATGTTCCACCAGCATGTCCCATTGTTGCAAATATTTGATAACAAATAAATGCCTTACGCTCATCCTTTTCAGCTCCAATTCCATTTCGATAACAGAAACCAAGTTTATATGTTCCTCCGATGTGTCACATTCCAGAAGATTTTTGATAGTAAATAAATGCTTGTTCATTTTTTTCAACCCCAATTCCATTTCGATAACAAACACCTATTTTGTTCTTTCCTTCTGCGTGTCCCATTCCAGCAGACTTTTGATAGCAAAATGCTTCATATTCATCTTTTTCAACACAAATACCATAATCATAACAAATATCAAGAGTAAATGTTCCATTAGTATGTCCCATCTTAGCAGATTTTTGATAGTGAATGAATGTCAAATGTTCATTCTTTTCAACTCTAATTCCATTATGATAAATATCCATTTCAGCAGATTTTTGATAACAAATGAATGCCATATGATCATCTTTTTCAATTCCAATTCCATTTCGATAAAAATATCCAAGTTGGTATGTTACTAACACTTCCCATGTCAATAGAATTTTGTTAACAAATAAATGCTTCTCGATAATTCTTTTCAACTCCAATTCCGTTTCAATAACAGCAACTAAGAATACACGCTCCACTAGCATGTCCCATCTCTGTAGATTTGATAACAAACAAATGCTTCTTGATCTTTCTTTTCTACACTGATTTCATCTTCATAGCAAGATCCAAGATTACGTATAGTCGCGAAATAACGCTCAGGGGCGTTATTTCGAATTTCGACATGAATTAAGCCTAATTTAGGCCGAAATTCAAAATTACACCCCTGCGCATTATTTCGCACTATACGGTATATAATGTCCACATTAGCAGACTTTTGATAATGAATAAATGCTTCATGTTTATCCTTTTTAACACCGATTCCACAACCATAACCAAAAACCAAGATTAAATATTTCACTAGGAACCGGAAACCGGCATAATTCCGGAGCCTAATACGTATATTCGATTAATTGCCTCAACTCCTGAAAATCTAATTTGTGCATGTCGCAGATCAGGTTTTTCAGGGGCGTTACAGGCGGAAAATGCCACAACTACGTTTTTGATAATTTTGATATAAACATATCAAAAGCGTAGTTTCGGTTATCACTGAGCGTAGAAGTATGAGTCCTGTTGCATCTAAAGTAGCGATTTATCTAAAGTAGCCACTTTAGATATATAAAGTAGCGCCTGACTAAAATTAGGCCCCTGAAATTAGATCTTCATGCATGCACTAAATCGTAATTCTAGCCCAGGGCTACTTTAGATAGGGTGGCTACTTTAGATACAACAGTCCTACGCTTCGCTCCGGACAATCAGAATTTCCAGTCTTAGTAGATTTTTGATAATATACTAATGCTTTATAATCATATTTTTCAACTAAATGCCAAAAAGATGACGATGTCTAAGAACGTTCAGGCCATAGGGTTAGTTTGACTATTTAAACACCAATTGATTATGTCCTCTGAATTTTGTTGATTTTTTACTAAAATTTGATCCATTAATCCGGGAATTAATGTTGTACAATATCTTTTAATTCTTTCTTTAATGAATAATTCATCAAATTCTTCAACAGTTTTGTTTAGAGAATCTTGATTTTTACGATTTTTATATATATATATATGCAAAAAATTATTTATAATATTGTAAACAATTTTACAAAATACACAACATTCCTCATTTGATATTAGTTACTTGAATTTTAAATTCGAAAGTCGAATTATAAAAGTTTTTTGATTTCAAGAGACAAATTTTTATTCGTTGATTTTTCGTTTATAGAATTCTTTAATGCATGCATATGGACTAATTGAACGCCTCAACTAGAAATTTTACCGGTTTCAGACAAACCACAGCGATAATTAATAGTGACTGCAATATGACTAATATAAATTTAATGCATCAAAATTTTTATAAAAATACTGGATAATCAAAATTTGGAGGACTCGATATATAAAATCGGGAAGATTAAAGATCACTGAACCCAGTGATCATCACTGTATCACATGACAATCACTCGGCCTAGGCTAGGGTTAGTTTAGGGTAGTTTAGGCCAGTTTGTTTAGTTCTGGTAAACAAATAACGTCATGATATGTTTATCATGTGATCGTCGATCACTGGGTTCAGTGTCCCATAAAATCTAACACATTGGCGTCCGAAATTTAATCATTAGAATTTTAATACGTACTGAACGATCAAAAATTCGGATAACCGTGATATAATACCCAATACAAGATATCCGAATTTTTGACCATCTGGTATTTTGTGGCGGAGAACCCTTAGCGTCTACGCAAAATGAAACAAAAGTTACTTTTTTGATGCATTTTGGGTAAATTTTAAATATGACGTAATAACACTTTGGTCTGAATTCAAAATAATTACCCGCATTATGAATATCATATCAAAATTGTAATTGTAAACTTTTTGTTCGTCCGCACGCGTGTTCAAATTTATAATTCAGCGAACAAAAAAATGCACATTCTCGCGATTAATCAATATGATCGTCTTATGAAATGCTCTCGACGCACACAATGCCACGTATTTTGCTATATAGAAATTCACCGGTTATCGGCAACTTTACAGAAGAGTTATCACAAATTTTTTTAAATAATAGTTGCTAAAAAATTAAAAACGAAAGTATTTTAATCGAAGTAATCTGATTATCATAGATTGTACATGTATATCTCATAAATCACAAAAATTGATTAATCGAATTGTTTATCTGCACGAGTCTGAAATCATAACAGAAGCATTTTAACGCTTAACAGCCAATAACTGTTGTGTTGATTTGAATAAATTTGACAATAATTGATTAGCAGATGCGAACAATTTATAATTATCGCGTTTTTCAAATTACTGTGTCCACTGATTTTCATACATCACGCTGGAAATCAGAAATCTAGAATAAATGCCAATACGTGATTGGCTAAAAATTATGTTTAACCAATCACAGATTTGCATTTATTTTAGATTTCTGATTTCCAGCGTGATGTATAAATCAGTGGACACAGTAATTTGAAAAGCGCTATAATCGATACATATCATTCATTATCTACTACAAAATTTCCTGATGAAATATTAAATAAATTTAATTTTATTAAACCTTTAATAACTAAATAAAAAACAATTTAGAACCTCACTTCTTGGCCCCGAGTGCTAGTATAGTAACCCTGTAATACTTTTTTTAGCCACGAAGACGGGTCACCAAGTGCAATGTAGACTCATTTTGAATGTTATAATCTGAAAGTTTACAATGGTCACCTAATTGTTGACCAGCAAAAATCATATGTTGTTGATCTATTGGTATACCATCGGTGTTTTGAATCAGGCGCTTTACATAGCCAACAGTGTCGGATAGACATACTTGGAAAGTAAGGGTTTTACCAGTTAAAGTTTTAACAAAAATCTGAATAAAGCAATAAAGTGTAGATCCGCTTTTTATCCTCGCATCGGAAAGTCTACAGTTATCATTTAATTCATTACCCTCAAAACTAATACGGTGAATTGATGAACCCACTCTGGTCTGGATTTTTTGCTTTAATTCCATAACAGTATCTGATAGCAAGACATTTAACTCTACAGTTCCATTAATGGGTGTTTTAATAAATATTTGATTATACTGATCACAACAAAAAAGGGTACATCCATTTTCTATCCCTATATTAGAAAGTTTATGGCTATCATCTAATTTATTACCTTTAAACTTAATACCAAAGGAACAATTATTTCTAGCATCGACTTTCTCTTTTAATTCTTTAACAGTATCTGATAGAAAGATATCAAACTCTAATGTTTCATTAGTAAGAGTTCTAACAAAGATCTGAATACAACAATAAAATGTACATCCATTTTTTGCTCCTATATCGGAAAGTCTACTGTTATTATCTAATTTATTACCTTTAAAACTAATACTATGAAAAGCACAAATATTTCTAGCATGGATTTTCTCTTTTAATTCTTTAACAGTGTCTGATGGCAGGGCATCTAACTCTAACGTTTCATCAGTAGGAGTTCTAACAAAGATCTGAATATAACAGTAAAATGTACTTCCATTTTCTGTTCCTATATCAGAAAGTCTAATGCTACCATCTAATTTATTACCTTTAAAACTAATTCCATGAAAAGAACATATAATTCTAGTCTGGATTTTATCTTTTAATTCTTTAACGGTATCTGATGTCAGGGCATCTAACTCTAATGTTTCATTAGTAGGAGTTCTAACAAAGATCTGAATACAACAATAAAATGTACATCCATTTTCTGCTCCTATATCAGAAATTCTACTGTTATCATCCAATTTATTACCTTCAAAACTAATACCATGAAAAGACCAATTATTTCTAGCATGGATTTTCTCTTTTAATTCTTTAATAGTATCTGATGGCAGGGCATCTAACTCTAATGTTTCATTATTAGGAGTTCTAACAAAGATCTGAATATAACAATAAAATACACATCCATTTTCTGCTTCTATATCAGAAAGTTTAATGCTATCATCCAATTTATTACCTTTAAAACTAATACCATGAAAAGAACAATTATTTCTAGCATGGATTTTCTCTTTTAATTCTTTAATAGTATCTGATGGCAGGGCATCCAACTCTAATGTTTGACCAGTAGGAGTTTTAACAACAATCTGCACAGTTCTTGGTGGTAATGTTGGTGCTAAAACTGTGCGAGGAGGAAGTATTAACGATGAAATAGGTTGATTTTGAGACATGAGTCGTGTTTTTATATCTGTCCAAAGATTTTTTTCAAGGATTTGTTTATATGGTTTTACATTATTAATAATATCATCAGCGGAGATTTGAAAATAACGAATATGAGGTAAACAATTTTGTAATGTGATTTTAAGAGCCAAAAAATTTTTAGGAGACCATTCTTTAGGATTAGATGATAATCCAGGATTTTTGGCGATTCCCCATTTAATAATATAATTCCAAATTTTAATTTCATTCATTTTCAAGTCATTACGCTCAATAAGTGAGATTAATGCATTTTCCGGAAGTGAATCAAAATCTTCTGAGTCAAAAATCTTTTCTGGATATTTTACTACAATATCATTGCACCATTTTTGTAGACTTTCAGCCTTATTTTTCCGAAAACACATTTTATAAATGTAAGAAAAAATGTAAACGAAGCCATGAAGCTTTTTCTTCAATTAAAAGAGTTTCAAGAAATTTTCCCAATTCTTCAAGAAGAAACTCATAAGCAACAAGCATTATCTCAAAAATGAATGAAACATCAAGGTCATCTAGTGAAAACACACCCCCGTATATGTACCTTTAATGCGAAATTAACAACGCAACGTTATAGCAACCTAATATATGTATATATAAAAAGAAAATATCAAATGACTTACTTGATAATAATTTCAAATTGTTTAATAGAAACATGATTTAAATTAATTGTTTTAATGTTATTTTTATTTGTGTTAGTGTTTTCCAACTCATTACGAAAGTATAAAGATCGCTTTTTCAAAATAGCTGAATGAGCTTGAAATATCTTGTTGTTTGTAAACTCATTAACTTGAATAATTACATTGAAATCCTCATTGTCAGTAAGGAGTTCAAGGTAATCATTTGAAAGATTTTTAAAGAATTCAACCATCGTTTTTTTTTTTTTGTTTATATAAATAATTGAATTAATTTAAGTAATGAGAAAGTCGTATCGTTATGACACTAAAATTTATAGCATCTGCAGATGCAATATGCGAGGTAACTAATAAAGGTCGTACAGCATTGAGGTTTTGATTACGTATATAAATATAATGGGTTACACGATTCCTCGAAAGTTATTTCTCTACACGACATCACAACTTGATAAAAATAATACCTGCAACTAATGATGCAGAATTAATTCTACATGTGTAAAAATAATTCCAAACAATCCTACTATGTAGTAGCATGGTGGACAAGTTCGAATTTGGAATAGATCGGCACAATTGAATAAAAAATTTTTTTGAACTTTTTATATGCGT